TAATTGGCTACAAGTTTACAGTCAGCTTGTGCACTATTACTAACGTCATAAATTATACACTGTCTTGTACTGCATTTTATATAAAATGGGGGGGGGGGCACAAAAGTTTTTGGTCTTTTCTTTTGGGACAGGGGTCGTGTGAGTTTTGCTGTTGCCAGAGGGGGGTCATGTAGATATTGAGAGGGAGAAGGTGTGAAATGCTACCCCCCAGCCATAAATAATGAACACTCCCTTTAAAGTTGACCCAAACACTAACAATCGCTAGAGTGTTCACAAGAGTTTGACAAAAAATTGGCATAGAAAACTTGTGTGTCAAGTTTTTTGTTTTACAAATTTGCTCCATTCTGGAAGAAATATTTAGTTTGTGCACACAGTGAATCGCTCGCTCAAGCAAACTTGGACCCCTTAGAGCAAAGCACAAGATTCCAAATTGCATCGAAGCAAATGTAGAAATTACCATTTTCATTTTTCTTGATTCTGTGCAGAATGTATCGTCTTCCTAGTCTTTTACAAACAACCCACATCACAAAACGGGTGTTGAGCCCACAATTTGCTGCGTGTTTGAATACTTCAAGTACCTGCTATGCTAAAGAACTAAAATTTGGTCGGGATGGAAGATCTGCTATGTTGAAAGGCGTTGACATCTTAGCAGAAGCTGTTGCTGTTACACTTGGTCCCAAGGTATTTACTTTTAGAATAAGAAGTATTTGTTGAACTTACCAAAATCAAAAGTAAAATTATACTTTAATTTAATTAAATAATAATAGTAATATACATACTTTATTTAAAGAGGGTAAATGATATTAAAGTTGATATACAATAAAAACTTTACTAAGCATTACATCTATGTATTAATTAACAATTATTCGCCGAAGGCGAGGTGATTATCGGGGGATATTCGCCGAGACGAAGTCGAGGTGAATATTTCCCAATAATCACCGAGCCTGAGGCGAATAATTGTTTTAGTATTTGTGTGTTTTTTGGGACTGAATTTATTTTAATTTCGCTTGTTTCTTTATCAGTATAATGTCCACAAAATGGCTAGCCGCCATTTTGAAAATTTCAGTTTTGTTATATTCACCTGTAGGTGAATATAACAGCTTAATACGTCAAATTTGACCAGTCAACTTACAGGATTTGTTATGTTCACTTGTGCAAAAATACTAAAGCTCTATATTACATGTGGATCATTATATTATAGACAGTAAATAAAACCGATAAAAAATTATTGACCGAGGCGATGGTAATGCTTGGTCATCCAAAGCTTTCTTAAATGACTTTAAACTTGACAATTTTCTCACATGCAGTGGTAAAGATGCCTTAGGGCCTGTTTATATGGAAGCCGGGCAGCCCGCTTAGCGAGACAGCCCGGTAAGCGAGATCTCGCTGTGTAGTTATTTTTATAGTAAAAATTATCATGCATTTATATGGACAAGCGGGCTGGCCTGGCAAAATCTCGCTTACCGGGACGGAAATTACTCCATATGGCCTGGTTGCCAGGATGAAAGTTCAAAGTTACTGCCGCAAGCTATTTTTAACAACTGTCAAAACAATATCAATGTAACAAAATTGTCCCGGCAAGCGGGATAAAATTATCTCATATAAACACAAGAGAAATTCATCCCGCTTACCGGGCTGTCTCACTTAAAGCAGGCCAGCCCGGCTTCCATATAAACAGACCCTTAGTAATAGAAACCTCACAATGTACAAGTACCATTTAAAGATGTGGTACAGTCCGTACTTGAACCCATGTTCAATAGAGGAAGACTAAAACTAAACATGATCAAACTTTTTTGCAGACATGTATTGCTGACATGAAATCGAAAATGACAAATTGATTTTCACGACAGCAGTTTTTGCAGACGTAAATAATTTTGATTTTCAAAGGCTGCACTTGAGAAAATATTAGAAATTATAGATGACCCTAAAGAAGACATACAGAGAAGCAAGTCATGAAAGTGTTTTTTTTTAAATGGTGGGCTTCTGTATAGGGGGGAATATGTGCACAGCCACAGTTTAGTTTATTAATTTTGCCAAACATAAAATTTAATATTACAACAACAAAATAGTGTGCCCTGCCCCTGGTCACTGCAACATCTTATTGCCAATTACTGCAAAGGCAAAGCTGACGGGGTAGGCTAAGGCTGGTAGGGGGCATCAAAATTAGTGTTGTTCACATGTATGGCTATTGTTTGAACAATCTCATTTCTATGTTCTTTGCACATAAATCATAAGGGGAAAGGGAGAATACAAATTTTACCGTTTTACTGCATACATATTAAAGATGCGGTACAGTCCGATCTGCGCATGTGCGCAAAGGAGCCCTCTTTTTATTATACAAACAGTTTATTTGGGTTTTTATTACGGTAATAATAATTAATGGTATGCATATATTATACAGTATAAAGATCTTCTTAGAATCAACAAAGAATTCAATATAATTAGAATCGCATGTCTAATTGCATTTGAATTCGAAACTATTTTTTTTTTTTAATTTATTTATTTCGCCCAATTTTCCAAAGTACAATAAAATTTAACTATTTACATTTTTATAATCTATACGTAGGGCTAGAGATCTTTTAGAAACCCTTTTGGGCTTTTATTTTAAGACCCCTAGTTATAACAAAACTT